AATGTTAGATGATATGGAGTTTGACATCAAATTGGGTCAAGGACAAATAAAAATCTTTAAAATAGTGATTTAATCACTTCTATCCAAAAGAGACATGGTTTACATTTTTTAAATGCAAAACTTTTAGTGGATCTGTCTACAGCAGTTTTAGATAATAATTTTAACCTTGCAAAATTGTGGCATGGTCGACTTGGTCATAATGGAAAGAAAGGCTTAAAGACTCTACAAAATAAATGGGTATTTGGAAAATCAAACATTGGGGAATATTCTAATTGTGAACAATGTTTGATTGATAAACAAGTTAAATTATCTTTTCCCACTAGTACTCATAAAGCAAAGCAAATTCTAGAATATCTACATGCTAATTTGTGGGGTCCTGCATTGTCAGGTTACAAATATTATCTTTTAATTATTGATGATTTTTCAAAAAAAAAAAAATTGGATGTTTCTATTGAAATCTAACGATGAAACTTTTACTACGTTTGAAGACTGGAAAACCTAAATTGAAAACCAAACTGATTTGAAAATCAAAACTCTAAGAACTGACAATGGTCTAGAATTTTGCAATTATGAGTTTAATGATTTCTGTAAATTACATGTCATCCTATGACATAGAACTATGATATATACTTGCCAACAGAATGATATTGCAGAAAGAATAAATATGACTTTATTGAATAAGGTTAGATGCACGCTTCTAAGTTTAGGCTTGCCCAAATTATTTTGGGGGTGAAACTGTTAAAACTGCTGCATATTTGGTTAATAGAAGTCCTACTAGTGCATTAAATTTTAATGACCCTGAATTAGTGTGAACACAAAGCCTATTGATTGTTCTTATCTAAAAATATTGGTTATGCTACATTTGCTCATCAAAATGCAAGAAACTTGACCCTAAATTATTGAAGCGTGTGCTTTGGGCTATGTTGAAAATATAAAAGGGTACAGGTTGTGGGTTAATAGATAAAGGGGTTACAGAGCTATAATAAAAAGAGACGGTGTCTTAATGAGTCTTGCATGCCTTGTTTAGAAGGAAAGAAAGAGAATTTAACTGAAAATGATGTCCAAATCCAAATTGAGGTGGAGCCTATTATAGTAGAAAATACCCAAACTATCCTCTCAGAAACTGAACATACTGATGAAGTTACCTTAACTGAAAATGGTTTAGAACTGGGAGAGTTTGAATAATCTGATAATTCGATACTACCACCTGAGGAATACCAACTTACCATAGATAGAGAGATTAGACCTCCTCCCAGGAATAGCAATGATGACTTTGTGTATCTATTCACATTTCAGGAAGAAACAGAATCTGAACCAAACTCTTATTATGATGCTCTAAAATCAAAAGACTCTAAGAAATGGTTGGCTGCTATGGAATAGGAAATGTCCTCTTTGTATAAAAATAAAACATGGGAATTGGTTAATAAACCTAAGAATCAAAAATTGGTTGATTGCAAGTGGATCTATAAACTAAAGAATAGAGAAGGGGGCATAATAAGGTTAAAAACAAAGCTAAGTTAGTTGCCAAAGGTTTAACACAAAAAGAAGGTATGAATTATGATGAAATATTTTTCCATGTAGCTAAATATACCACTATTAGATGCATACTTACATTGGTTGATTAGTTTAAATGGGAATTAGTTAGACTAGATGTAGAAACTGCATTCTTGTATGGTGAATTAGATGAAGTCATTTATATGAAATAGCCATTAGGGTTTATTAAAGGTGATCCTAACAAAACTATGTGTTTTTAAAAAAAAAATCTCTATATGGCTTAAAACATGCCCCAAGACAATGGTATAAAAGATTAGACTCATTTGTCTTAAGATTGGTTTTAGTAGAAGCAATTATGATACATGTCTTTACTATAAAGAAGGTGAAGGTAAAATTTTTCCATATTTGGTTCTCGATATTAATGATATGCTCCTTGCTAGTATTAATAAATCTGAAATTGATAATATTAAACTTAAGCTGAAATCAGAATTTGATATTAAAGACCTTGGACATGCCAAGAAAATTCTTGGTATGTAGATTGTTAGGAATAAAGAAAATGGATCTCTTTTCTTAAATCAACAAGGTTAGGTAAATAAGATCTTAAGAAAATTTAATATGTTTGACTATAAACCTGTGTCTTTGCCCCAAGCAAACCATTTTAAACTAACTTCTTATTGTTTCCCTAAAACTCAAGATGAATATGATAGAATGTCTAGAATTCCATATGCTAATGCTATAGGTTCAAAATGTATTTAATGATCTGTACCAGACCATATTTGGCCTTTAGTATTAGTGTTTTAAGTAGATTCATGACTAATCCTGGAGAAACTTGCTGGGAGGCATTATAATGGTTAATGAAATACTTAAAGGGTTCATCTAATCCAAGGCCAATGTATAAAATGGATAGAGGGGTAACATTAAAGGGTTATACAGATTCTTACTTTGCAAGAAATAGAGACAATAGGAATTCCACTTCATCTTATTTCTTCACCTTGTGAAGCACTGTTGTGAGTTGGAAATCCCAATTACAAAAGATTGTAGCTCTATCTTTTATCGAGCCAAAGTATATTGCTGCTACTAATCATGCATGTAAAGAATGTATTTGGTTAACTGGGCTTCTTAAAGAACTTGGTTTTGTTAACATTAATCTTGTTCTTTTCTCTGACAATCAAAGTGCAATTCATTTGAATAAAAACCCCATGTTTCATGATAGAATAAAACACATTGATATCAAATACCATTTTATAAGAGAGATCATTTCAAAATGATTAATTAAAGTCAATAAAGTCTCTACTTCTTTAAATCCTTCTGACATAGGAACAAAAGTGATATCTTTAAACAAGTTTCAAAACTGTTTAAAGTTATTATCTCTTAACACTTTGAATTGATCATACAGGTACACAAAGCAAGTGAAATTATAAACTACTGGTGAAGCTCCTAGCTGGACTAATTGTTAAAATTGTTGGAAGCAAGGTGGAGATTGCTGTGGTTCGAAACCTAGATCTAATGTAGTGAAAGCGTGCTTCCAAAATTTTATCCATTGAAAGCGTGTTTTATCAAATGACAACTCTTTAAATCGAGTGGGTAGAAGAACAATTTCACTATATACCAATCAAGAACTTTTATATAGAAGTCATTACATAATTGTTCGGATGCATAAGGTCCAAACTCTCAATTATGAGAAGGCTGGATACTATACATTCACAGGTTAAAGGCTCATTAGGGGTGGAGATGTCACTAGGGTGGACATAAGTCTTTTCTTTCCTTGATTATGGGTCTATAGCACGTGGGCCAACTTCTAGCACGGAGAATTTTCTGAGTATCAGGAACCACTTCTCATGATGTAGATGCCTACGGGGAAATTGGATGCAAAAACCATGTAAGCATGAGATGGATTAAGTTAGTAAAAGAATAAGCAAAAGTGCTATGTAGGTCATGGCTTCATTTTCTGTTGCCATGTATTTATAATGTACTTTATCTTTTGCTTAAAAAGAAGCAAGAAAAAATTTGAATCTTATACATGCATGTTAGGGGGTGTGTTACAGAAATATTAAAATAAAATAAGTTTGTCTCTTCTTTAATGTAGCATGTCTCGAAAGAATTAGAGCACAGGAAAAATTATTGTGCTTATACATTGCCATATTTATGGTACTCCATAACAGAATTGGATCATTATAATAAGTAATTATGAGTAGGACGTTTAGACAAGTAAGGATATGGGAGGAAGAGTATAAGCTGGACATCAGGTCATGCGGTATCATACTATATGTATTTAAATTATAATAATAAAAAAAGAATGTCCCAAATTTTTTTAGAAAATACATATGAGTTCCAAATAAATTATGAAAAATTAGAAATTATATATATATTTTTTAAAAAGTGCAAACGAATTCCAAATAAGTTATTTAAAAATTAGAAACTAAAAAAATTAAAAAGTGCAAACAGTCCCAAATAAATTATTAAAAAATTAGAAATAAAAAAAATCTTTATTTTTTTAAATTTTAAATAGGAGGGTATATTCATCATTTTACATCTTTTATTGAGAAATTGGATGAAAATGGATAGAAATGATTGTTTGTATAATCAAATGTGTAATTAAGGTCAAGCTGCAAAAAATTAAAAGATAAAAACGTTTATCATCATAATAGTGAAATTTTTGGACATTATGTACTAATTACCCTTTCACTAATTTATTTGGGACTCGTTTACATTTTTTTAAAAAAACTTGGGACTATAATTGCAATTAATTCTTTCTTTTTCTTTTTGTTTTATTGAAATAGAAATTTATATTCATTATTTCACAATTTTTAATTGAAAAAATGGATAAAAATGATATTTTGAGTAATGAAAGCACAAGGTAAAAATGTCAAAAAATGAAAGTTAAGAACGTTTTCCACAATAACAGTGGAAGGTAAAGATTTTATGTTTTAATTACCCTATAAACAAAATCCTCTCCCTACGAGATTATACATTACTCAAAGAAATTTAACTTGATATTGAAGTGGATAAATTTTCGTTCAGGTTTTATCAACGCTCACTTTTTACGGAAATCTCACTTGTCACAGATTTAACAAGAGTAAACCAAATAAGCGGGCAAATTTTAAAGATATAAATATAAACAATCGCTTCTTTCCCTATATCATGTGCGACGCTTTTAGTGTTTATTTGGCTAAGCTTTTTAGGGCTTATAAGCAGTAGATTTCAAAGAATATACCGTTAAAAATTAGATGGTTATGGATCCTTAAGAAATGTATCATTAAACGGGATATTTGACTACCTTATAAGCTCAAAATATCTTTATCAAACATGCTTAGAAGTTAGGAGATATATTGTTTCTGTGGCCAAACAGAAATGCATGAGTAAAATTATAACCAAAAAACAAAACAATATGACGTAAAGGTAGAAATTTGAAGAAGAATACAAAAACTGTTGTTGGAAGTAAACAATTGTTAGGTGCGATGACACAGTGCTGCTGGGCCATGGAAGGGTTTCTCGTGTATGTCGTTCAATTTTCGTCATTTATTCTCTCTTTTGTTCGTCACCTTTCCTTTTTTTTGCTGATATACAGGCTATTGAACTCATACAAAAGTTGAGGTCTGCACCCTGTATTAAGAGAATTTATCCAGATGGAGAAATTATTGATTATTATTCTCCATTTTAGTCTTTTGATTTCTGCAATTAGTGGATCCAATGTCCCATCAATTTACGTTTTCGGGGATTCGCTTTTTGATGCTGGTAACAATCACTACAACAAAAATTGCACTGCTCAGGCTGATTTTCCTCCATATGGATCAACCTTCTTTCACCACCCTACTGGAAGATTCACCAATGGCAGGACGGTGGCTGACTTCATTTGTGAGTGTTCTTTGATCTCCAGATCCACGCATACACAGACTCATATAGAAGACAGATAAACACTGCTAGCATATGTCTTTTTTTTTTCTTTTTTTTTTTTTTGTAGTATTGAATGTTGAATACTATGTACCAAACACGCCTTGTCTGTATACGCGACTGAATTTTGATGGATGACAAATTGCAGCTCGATTTATAGGCTTCCCTTTTCAACAACCTTTTCTGGAGGTACAGAATGAGATTAAGAATGGCAGTACAAAAGGTTATCCATCAAATGGCCTCAACTTCGCAAGTGCTGGCAGCGGAGTTTTACGAGCGACAAATCAAGATTCGGTAAGGATTTAAGCTGTTTTTAGTGACAGAAGCTACTAAGCACAAAGCTTTATCTAATCTAAATTACTTACAAGAACTTTTTGTTGCTTCAAGATATCTTAAATTAAAGGCTCAATTCAAGCGGATATATATGGTAGACTGGATTACATTTAATTAAGGGTCGTGCTTGCTGTACACCCTTAGAGGTACAGTCCCTCACATGAGGTACATCCCTCTCACACAAGCGCTGTGCAAGCAGAATTTTCCTATAATTAATAAAGAGATTTCCAATCTTCTTAATCCAAGTTAGCGAACTTGCCAGGGCAAAACTTTTCACCCCCCAGACTGAAAAGAAATACTAGAAGAGCACTGGATTAAGTTTAAAGAAATCAAGAAGAAGATTAATGGGAAAAAAAATCTTAAAAATTAAACGTCTTCCTTTACGAAACAACAATGAACAATATATTTTCTCAATAAATATGGATTTGATGTATGAATCATTTTTAGCAATTAATTTAAAGCTATTGTGGACAATTTTTGCTAAACTATCTGAATTTGAAGGTTTAGCACCTTGATATCCATTTTCTTATCCTTTTGTTTTACCTAAATCAACTTTTTATTAATATTTCACGTAAAGGAAACTGTCTAATATCCCAGTACCTATTTTCAATTAGACTTCGGAATATAGAATTTCAAAGTCACTACAATATATGATCAAATATGACGTTCTTACCGGAGATGACAATTTGAACTATGAATAAGAGGTACTCATGGATATTGTACATATTGGCGAAGGATTTGGTTAGGTTAATAGTCCCACCCCTCATTTGTCCTTTGGAATTTTTAGTATAAACAAAATTTTCGCTTGTCTAAAGAGGTGTCGGTACTCAATTTTGCTACGTGTTTGGCACAAGTATTGTGACAAAATAAAGTGAAATTATCACTCAAAAAATGTGAAATCAGGAATAGTCACTTCAATTTTTAATCTTATTTGTAATATGTTACGAGTATTCAAGTTATAAGCCACTTTCAAAACACAACAAAAATATGAAAATAAAAACAAAAAACAAAAAGAAACAAAGGAATACGATGATTTTCGCCATAAGGCAAGAGGTTTAGAATCAGAGTTTCTACTCCCCTTTTGAGCTTCCACCACTGAAAAAATATCACTATATCAATGTAATCAACGAACGATCCAGTATACGAAACTCCATGCCACTTAGACGAAATCGGACAATCTCCCAAAAATAAGCCTCATTGAAAATACAACATTCACTCAAGAATATTGAAATATCAACCTATACAAAATCACTCAAAATCTATACAAATGGCTGGATAATATTTCATCAAAAAGGGGCTTAATTTCATAGTGCAATAGAGAGTAAACGAGAAACCCACCGAGAAAGTTCAAGAGACAAGAGAATGAAAAGTCTTGCAACTTGAAACCCTAGTGTCAAATTAATATGGAAGGCACTAGAAAGTCGTCCATGAAATGGGGCAAAAAAGAGACAATTGTCAAGATCAGGGGCATCCATTCTTCTTAAGAGAAAGCGTGTTTCAGCAATTTGTAATTCAACAATCCCTTTTCTTGTTAGAATCCGGTTCGAATGATATTTTCACCTATTTTGATCCATTTAGCACCCCAACTCTCACGCCAGATGCCTATGTCGGGTCTATGTTGCTGGAAGTTCGAAAATTTATCGACCAAATTTGCAAGCTTGGTGCCCGGCGAATTGCCATATTTTCATTAGGACCGGTCGGCTGCGTTCCAGCAAGGGTTCTTTTGCCAGGTACACCAGTCACTAAATGCTATGAAAAAATGAATAAAATGGTCGAGAATTACAATCAGGGCTTGGAGGGAGTGGTGAATGGTATACCTGTCAAGTATCCAGGTGCATTTGGTGTTTTAGGAGAAGTCTACAAAACTGTCCAGGATTTTCGAGCAAATCCAAGACGTTATGGTACGTAGTTTCTTTTCTGTTCTAAAATTTGCTATCAACTTTTCACCAACATTCAGTTCTATAAATTTTGTCGAAGGCAGGAAAACTAAGATTTCAGATTGTGACACTGCAGGTTTTGCAAATGTAACTGATGCATGTTGTGGCGATGGAATCCTTGGAGGATTTTTGCAATGTGGCAAAGAAGGTTACACAGTTTGTAAAAATCCCAATGAGTACTTATTCTGGGATTTCTTCCATCCCTCAGAACATACTTATAAGCTCATTGCAAAAGCCTTATGGGCTGGAGGACATACTCGAATTAGGCCCCTGAATTTGAAGACACTTGCCAATATGACCCTCCCTCATTGAGGACATCAGAAAAGTAAATGATGAGCTATAATCTAAGAAAAGTGCTTTCAGTAATATGCAATAAAATCAATGAAACAGTTGAAATCGCATTTCTATGTTATATTCTCAATTAATGCGTAAAATGTGTTGTATGCTCAAATAACCACTTATATTAATAGATATATTCATCATATATTAATTGTCTTATATAAAACATATATGAATAAAGTGGTTATTCAATTAAAAAACCTTTCTCCTTATCTATCACGGATGAATACGATAACTTTAGTCGATATATTGTCGCAATCTCCTTGCTGAATGTTTCAAAAATGTATACATAAAAACAAAAACAAAGCTTATAACATGGGAAAAATTTGTCACAGCTAATCTGGTGCCAACTTTGTCTGCAGCGAAAAATAAGTGCACAGAAAAATAGCTCGCTTGATAAAATTAAAAGAATAAAAACAATAAAAGAGAAAACAATTAAATAATATTTTATGAATGAAATTTTGTTTTCCTACGACATGGCTTGTTCTTAAAATTAATTGAGGTTCTAGTGAAATGAATTCCCTTTTAAGTTGAGTTTACTGTTTCCATTTTATTCTTCATGTTTTATTTTAAACTGCTGTTTTGATTCCCTTTTATTTGTGTGAATTGCTGTCTTCTTCAAAGAATTCAACGGGACCAACACCAAGAAAGCTGTGACAACAATGACGGTTGTTGTTCTTACTGATATAATCTTGATTTCCAACAATTAATTAGAAAAATAACAGCCTAATTATTGGGGTTCTCAATCAAAAAATTCTAATATTAAATGACTACATGGATAGAAACCGGTGCTTGAAAATGCATGATGATATATAGTTATACGAATGAAGCAAAATTGTTTTTTCTATATGAGTTACATATCAAATGACTTGTTGAATCAAATAAATATATAAAGCGAATCAATTTGTGACCAAATTCTAACATAGACAAATTAATTAAGCTTTTGTTTAGTAGGGATTAAAAATCAAATTTTAGCATATTTTAATAAAACTAGATAAAATATGTGATTGAAAAGTTGTGTCATATGAAATATGTGGTAGAATTTGATTTAGATTAAAATTCACCATCAAATCTGGATTAAATCTAATTTGGCCCAACCAAATATATAGACCTTGTTTGAGCTCCATTTTTGGGGGAAAAAGCATTCTTGAACAGTGTTTTGATATCATTTTAATCACACATTCTTCAAAATATTATATGCAAGCAAAAATTTTCCTTATTTTTTAACCACACATTTTCCATCAATACACTACAAAAATACATCCCCCAAATGGGGCTAAAACAAGGACATATTCTTAATTATTCGTCGATCCATATGTTGCCTTCAATTGTTGGACCGCAAGAAATGTCTGTTAACACCAATTAGCTCCATCTAGATGAAGTGGAAATTACACCCACCCATATTTTTCAAGTTCCAACTTCAAAAATCAAGTTAAAAAATTATTTATACAAAAATTAGATAATAATTTAATTTTATAATATTAATAATAATATTATAAGAGTAAATTAATCTATATACCCTACCCCATCTACTCTACCTCAATTTCACTCTCAAACCTTAAGCCCTTGTTTGAGCTCCATTTTTCCATTAAAATAAATTCTTCAACAGTGATTTGGCCTCATTTCAATCACATTTTTCAATAAAATAATATTACACGTAAATTCATGACTTTTTTTTTATTTTTTAACCATACATTTTTCATCAATACACTATCCAAAAATGTATTTTCTGATAAGAATGTAGCTCAAACAAGAGCTAAATCTTTCTTCATTCTATTATCTCTCTCTCTTTACTGTGTGTGTCTCTCTCTCTCTCCCCCTAGATTTCACAGTAGTGATGAATGTTGTTGTATGTGATGCTACTATAGTAGCAATGTCGCACTGCTGTTTCATGGTGGTGGTAGCAGCAGCGTAGCACTGCTCTGTTGCAACAATGGTTCCAAACAACTCTTTGAGAGCCACTACGACGATGACACTCCTACGATGAAGTGATTGTCGCTACAGTAGTGGTGCATTAGATATCATTATCGACGATGATGTCGTTGTGCACAAGGTATTTGTTGTTGCATGATTTTGAAAAAATTTAGCTTTGGTGATAGTTTGGGGTTTTGCTATGGAGTCATGCAGGGGCGGACCTAGAGACTTCGGACTGTGGGGTCAAAAATGAAATTTTTTTCGAACAACGTATCATTAACAAAAATAAATTCATAGGATTAATAGATTGGAGTAGATAATTAATTGGAATTTGGAATCCCAAACCCAAATAACCGTTTCAACAGCAGAAAATTTAAAAAAAAAAGGGAAAAAATGGAAAAAAAAACTGTGAGGTCATTTGACCCCATGTGGGTCCGCCCCTGGAGTCATGGTTATAGTGGTTTGTGGTGGCAATAGTTTTTTTGTGCTTTTTGTGGAGCTTTGGGTGGTTCTCGCAGTGGTGATTATTGGTGGTGATTGATTGATTGACGATTTGGTGGCCCATGGGCGATATGTGCAATCGTCGGTGCATGAAGTAGATAGCAATGATGGTGAGGTAGTGGTAGTTGTTTTGAAGTTGAAAATGGCAATTGCTGGCGATGGTGTTGAGATGCTAGTGTTGGTGACAAATGGTGTAGTTGTGGTGCGATTTTGTAGCATAGCTGGGTCGTTGGTAGAGTGTTTGTGGTGATGGTAGAGTTGGATGGGGCTGTGGTGAGATGGGATGAACAGTGTTTATTATCAATTATTTGGGTGATTGCAACTATCGAATTGGTTAATTTGTAATCAATAAATAATATATGACCAATAAAATAGATAATTTGTAACCAATAAATAATATGTAACCTAAAAAATGTGATGTTGTAACTGAATTTGTAATCATGACTCATAATTTGTTAAGTTATGATCAATTAATTTAATAATTTGTAACCAAGAAATATCTTGTAACTAGTTAATTTGATATTTTGTGATTGTGAAATAAGTTGTTATCTATAAAATTTATGATTTATAATAGTACATAACCTATTAATTAGATAATTTGTTATCGTAAAATAAGTTAACCTATAAAATTTGTGATTTGTGATCGATAAATAAATTGTGATCTATAATTTTTTTTTTTGATCAAAAAATAATGCGCGACCAATTAATTTGATAATTTGTGATCTATAAATAAGTTGTGATATATAAGTACTTAACTATGACCATAAGTATATAATTATGACCTTGATATATTTAATTGATAAATATTTTTAAATATTTTTGAAATTAATAAAATTTAATTACAACCTGATTTTTGAATGTTTAAAATTAATTTTTTATTTTATTATTTGTTTAACCATCTAATTTATGTATTGTTCCCTTAGATGAGTATGTCTGAGAAGTCCAACTTGTACAAAATACTAGAAATAAAGCCCAGTTGGCATGACCCATCTTCTTCGAGCTTGGATTTTCTGGCCTCATAACGAATTAAAGTTAATAGGCCCAATTAAGCAATATTTGCTTACAATTAGTCCATAAGTATGGCCCACCAATACCAAAATTAATAGCCCATATTATAGTCCATCACATTTCAAATTACTTATAGACCACATAAATACTAAATCAAATTCACAAATTTGCTGCCCAACAGCCCAGCTATGAATTATTCAGCCCACTATACGATCCAAGCCAATGGACTATCGAGGCCCAAAACAAGACCCTTCACACATTGACAAGCCAAGCATCAAACCCACGTGCCATTGCAGTGCCTTTCTTATATGACAAAAGGGTTGTCATGGCCCCAGTATCGCATCAATTTTCAGGATAAAAAATAATGAAGAAAGCTTAAAGAGAAAAAAAAAAAAAAAAAAAAAAAAGGGTCGAACCCCAACCTTGAAGACTCCCACTGCCCCGCCCCTAAAGCATCGTGAAGGAGGTAAATCGTGTGATGTGCCCCAACAGGCCATGGAATAAGAGTTTGTCCGTACACTGGTACTCACAAAGAGTCCAATTTCATATTTCAGGAATCGAACCCTCACTACGGCTGTCAGCAAGGCTAAGACTACCTCACTCCTGTTCTTTGCACTACTAAAAAAAAAAAAAAAGGTTAAACACCAACCTTGAGGGTCCCCACCGTCCTATCTCTAGAGTTTTGTGAGGGAGGTAAATCGCAGGATGTGTCTCAACAGGCCAGGGAACAACAGCTGTTTGTACACTGCGCTTATAAGGAGTCCTTTGCACCACTTAAACAAAAAAAAAAAAAAAAAGGTTGAACCCCAACCTTGAGGGCCCCTACCGCCCCGGCCCTAGAGCTTTGTGAGGGAGGTAAATTGCAGGATGTGCCCCAACAGGTTAGGGAATAAGAGCAGCATATACACTGCGCCTACAAGGAGTCCAATTTTATGTCTCAAGAATCGAACCCTCACACTGCGGCTATCAACAAGGCGTGAGATAACCTTACTCCTGTCATTTGTACCACCGGGATATGCTTCAGGGGACGTCCTTTACACCACTAAGTTATGCCTTGGGGGGCGAAAGCTTTATAATATAAGATTTACGGACAATGAAAATAGTTTGTTCATTAGTTGGATTACGATGGTTGGTGCAGGGGCCGACGCTGGAAGGCTTTAACAAAGACTTTAAATATCAATAATCTCTGTAATAGCTTAAGTAACAAAAAATTAAATGATATGAAAAGACATTCAAAAATTGATGAATCGTAATAAATATTTACAAATAGTAGATTACTTTCGAGATTGAAAGAAACTACCACTTAAATTAAAATTTACAAGCTTCAGTCGAAATTAAGCAAACTGTAGTTTCAAATGGTCGAGGAGATGAGTATAGTTGTGGCCTTTGACATTTTCCTCCCATTGATTAGTGACATCCTCGGCACCTGCTTCAATTTGTGATTTTAAGACTCCAAGGTCTTTGACTTTTGTTTTTCCAAGTTTCTCCTTGATTGGTGGTATTCTTGATGGTCTTTTCCAGAAGTCTTGATCCGATGGTCAAAAATACTTTAGCAATCCCTTTTCTATGCTTTTCTCACTTCAAATTTAGGTCGCTTTAACTTATTTCTGAACGCATCTT